ACCTCACTCATACACTTAACTGCTCTTTAACTGATTTTAACTAACTTCTTTATTTATTTATAGTTTTTAAGACCAAGAAGTTTAGCTCATCATCTAGTGTGACTTCCTGCTATGAAGGCTATATTTAATGTGATGTCAAAACAGTGTGTTCTGTCTCTTTATAAGACAAGATACTGAATTATTGCATGGTTTAGACAGTTTTGCTCTAGTAGTGAGATGCTGTAGGCTTATCTGAAGCATGTTTGGAGGGTTGTAGGGACTGGTTTTGTCTTCATATTTATTTAAGAAAATTGCCAGTTTGTATGAATGTGACATTTTTGTAATACCTCTCTTTTAGTGATGAGTGTCTTGTAAAAATCATCAATCCAGGTAGGCCGGAAAGGATGTAGCGTATGTGTCTCCAGAAAGAAGGAAGTGATCAGTGCAAATGAGTAAGAGATACATAATCATTCCCTCTGTTGTTGTGGTATGTAGTTATAAGAAGGACGTAACTGAACCTAGTGCTTGGATGACTTTTAGATTACTTCAGTTTGGGTGATTACCAGTTACGAAAGTCAGTCCCCAAAGGGTATTCACTTTGGTAGCATTACAGAGGTCATTTTTATACTGTTTGAATTGACATTCTGTACTATTTTATAGTCTCTAGGAAGCAAATCCAGGTGTATGCACATGTGCACACATCACCACGGAGCGCGGTCCAATACAGTTTTATTGATAAAGCTCCAGCAGTGTGCTTCACACTTCTTAATAGCTTGTCAGCTGTACTGCTACACCTATTAACTGAGTCTGCAAGTGACTATGGAGTTCTCGTTTTGCAGCCACATGCTGTCCTTAGCAGGGTACACCTTTACAGATCTCTCCAATGTCCAGTACAACAGGATCAGACATACAGCCGGTCTGAAATCCTGTAGTGCATCACTCTGCTGCACCCCTCTAAACCATACTGCTTTGTGCATGATTGTTGGCTAAGACTCTTCTCTGAAGGGATTCTTGGATAGACATGGTATAGATCCAGAGAGATCTTTCTGTGTTAGCTTACATGTACAACACCCATTTGGCTTAAGGAACAATCTCAGCAGAACAAAACCACAGCCAAGGGTTCTGGAAAAGGTGTGGAATTACACGGCTTTGTCTCATCAGTAGGCTGCGTAGCTGAATTCCTCTTGTCACAACAGCCATCCCTGTCTCCTCATTTTCTGCCTCTCAGCACTGGGTCATGAAGGGACAGTTATGAAAACAATTTCAACCTTGAGAATCAATTTCTTGGCCTCGCTTTTCTAGCTGCTAATTGACCCTCTGTTTCATAGGTTACTTCCAGCTGTGCTTCCTTTTACAAGTCCTGCCAGCTGGGACATCCTAGGATCCTTAAGGTAAAGGGCTGGTTGCAACAGAGTGATAACTTAACAGCTTACGCAACTTAGAGTTTTGAAAATTTGCCCTGTTGCACTTTACCAAGTTGTAACAACTGCCTGCTTAGAGATACAGCTTGGAATGCTGGGTCAATTTTTATAAAAGGAGGGCAAAATCCCTAGAAAGAAATCTTCAAACCTAACCAAAATTGGCAGAAAGCTGGGTATTTCTGAGGATGTTGGAACTGCAGCCAGGGAAAGGTTAACGCAATGGGCATAAACTGAAATGTAGGAGGCTCCATCTGAACATCAAGAAACACTTTTTACTGTGAGGGTGACTGAGCACAGGAATAGGTTGCCCAGCGAGGTCATGGAGTCTCCATCCTTCGAGATACTCAAAAGCCGTCCGGACGTGGTCCTGGGCAGCTGGCTCTAGGTGGCCCTGCTTGAGCAGGGGGTTGCACCAGATGACCTCCAGAGGTGCCTTCCAACCTCAACCTTTTTGTGGTTCTGTGAAAGTCAGGGGCATCTGTATCCCAAACTCCCTTCCTCTTGATAGAAGAAACTAGATACTTATTGTAAGTAGGAAAGCTTTTCCACTGATAAGAGTAGAAACAATAATTTATCAGACTTAAACCAAAAGCTCAGAAGAAAATACAAGACAAATCATTTGTCCTAGAATATATCTAAGGGTCCCCTTAGGATGTTCATAGCAGTCCATAAGCTTAGCAGGGAAACAGTTGAGGATTACAGTATCAGTCCATACCTCTTTTGAAGAAACCTATTAAGGTTACAGTATTTGGATAGCACAGATAGTTGTTAGCTCATCCAAGTTACGAGGGTTTATTTTATTTATTTCTATCTGTCTGCCTTACCATGTTGCTTTTGCCACCTCTCAAGACTACTGATCTCACCAGCAGGGTCTGTGTGCTAATTTCTGAAAATAAGAGATGTCAAGGCTGAAAGCACTGATTGAAGTATACCATGGGCATGGTATACTGTGGTCAAATTCAACCATTCTTCTTAACTGTAGAATATCAATCACATGCTGGATGAGATTTAAAAAAAAAAAAAAAGAAGTTCTGACCAAAAGATCAAACTGGTAAGGTGTAATTTTGCCACTGTCCAGTTGTTTCAAACTGCGTGACTGCACTGCTAGCCCACATTTGTCCTGCACTTTCAGTGAGATTTCGAATTCATTGTCAGCAGTGCTTTAAATTGATAGCTAATATTACAGTGTGCTGTTAAATAGTTTTATTGCTAGTTTTATTGCTTCACACTAAAAAAATGTTGCATTTCTGTGGTGAATGAAGTTATTCCTCTGTAACTTGGGAATAATAGTAAGAAATTTTGGTCATATTAAGAATAACTGCTGCTGGTCAAAGAGCTTCCTGACACATTGCTTCATGCTTTTCCTCCACTCCTCCAAAATCAAAGGTTGTTTAATGCTGCATTTGAATTCTCTTAATGCATACATCCTGGCCTGCACTTCACCTGTTGGTCTGGGGTTGTCAGCATGTGAATAGTATTGGATCAGAACAACATGTGGCTAGAGCACTTAGCTACTATTCAGAAGTTGCGAAGATAATGGAAATCTGAATGCATATAGCTTTTTAAAAAGTCAAATAGGACTCTAATTATACTGAGCTAAAGAATGCCTATTAAAAAAAAAAAAAAACCCACAACACAGTGGTTTTAGAGAAATTTTAATTTCCAGTGTACCTTTGTGCATCAAGCTTAGGATAAGTTATTGTGATGGTACAATGCACAGTGTTGTGAACACCAGTGCCGTTATTGTGCCAGCTCTAATAATGAGAATTTCATTGTTTGGGGAGAGCAGTCTCCTACACTCTAGACAAAAGTGTAATTACTTTTGAACGATGTGGAATGTGCTCAGTTTAATAGCACGGAGAATAGATTCACAAAGATTCAGATAAAGCTAGCTTGGAAGCCATATGTGCAATGTGGCAGTATGAAATTGTTAGCAGGCACCATAATTACAACACACACGCACACACTCACAATTTCACAGTTTAAACTATAAACTGTTGTTT